TAAAAGTTTAAGGACTAAATTAGTAGTTTAACCTTTTGAAAATGGTCCCTCCTTCAACATGGTTAGGTTGCTGCAACTGCTATCCATTCTGTTAACTTTCCTCTCCAGTTCCTCGATCTTTTTAGACAATAAATCTAACTCAATTTTGGTACCAAATTTTGGGTGTTGGGACCAAAAAGGTATTAAAAAAAGTTTTAAGACCATTTTAGCATAAAATTAAAAAATTGATGGATCAAAAAGTTATTTAAAAATAAAAATTTCCCATTTCTTCCCTCAGCTAATCATCCTGCCATTAAATGTATGGAATGATAGGCAAATAAGTCCCCAAAATATTTTTCACAAACAAACAAGCCCTTTATGAAGCTTATGATTTTTTTTAAAAATTTTTTTTATTTCCGTGTCTTCTTAAAAGAATGTCTCTCACATCAAAATCACTATGAGGGCTGATGCCAAGTATTTTCTTTCTTCAATTAAGGTTTAACAAACACTTCGGTACCACACCGAAAAAGGGTATGAAATAAATAGAATGGTTGTGATGAAAATATCAAACTACCCCAATTAATCCCAAGAGAAAGCCAATGACCAAAAAATGCTTAATTTCGCTTAATTTCCCTGAGTTTAGGTGCATTAATTATGAAATTAAATAAAAATTGTTTAATTTTAAAATCAGCTAATTTTTCTTTGTTTTGGTTGATATGATGAATAATATTCTCTCATTTGATAAATATTTATAAAAAAAAAAAAGTGAAAAGTAAGATGAATGTTGAGATTTTGTATAAAATTACTCAAATATTTTTTTTTAAATTTTTTTATATATTGATTGATTAAACATATTTTAATTACTAAATCTTCTTAATTTAATTTTCTCAATCCTAATTTTTATAATATATAGCCTATACTCTTAGGTTTGTTTGATTGGATGATGCAATCTTAAGAAATATGTATGACGTGTTGATGCAAAGGAGAGAAGAGGGGTCACATCGGCATGTGGTGGGCTGATTCCTCCGGTGACATATTAAACTCTAGTATTGCCTCTACACTTTCCACTGAAATCCTCTTCCCCAGCTGTTGCTAGCTGTCCCTAATCTTCTCTCCATGTGACATATCAATGGGACCTCTTGACCTTAAAATAAAGGGGTATCACAAAATAATAAACAAAATCCAGTTGGAATATAAGTGGAAAAGAAAAAACAATCAATTTTACTTTTTCCAGTTGGTTGAGTCATGGTCTGTGTATCCACATGAGCTTCATTTATACGAAATTTTTTGCATTCAAGACGGCCTTTGAAGCATACTTTAATTTGGAACCTTATTTGTTCTCCAAAGATAACCATATTCAATTTCTTAGGCTCAAAAGTTTCAATTGATATTATTACTTAATAATCTTATACTTTGATATCAGTTTGTTATTTTATAATTTATATTATATTAAATTATAAAATAAAAATCTTAAATAAAAAAATTTTAATATCAAGAGTTAATTTTTTATTTAATTATTTATATTTTGTAATATAATATGATCTGAATTATAAAACAAATTTTTTATTTGATATGTATCTATTTATTTGGCATCAAATAAGATAACCTTGTTTTTTTTTTTTTTGAGAAATGAGATAACCTCATTCTTAAATTAAAATAAGAGAATTAAACTCAAAGAATGATATTTAGTAATTCAGTTTACACTAAATTATAAAAACTATTTTTATTAGATTTAACCACCTACAATTAAGCACACTAACATTTGAAATACCAAAAATAAATACATGCTTTTTGTTCTCTTCAGTCTTATTTTTTCTTTATTCTCATTTCTTGGTTAAATTGTTGCCTTGATTTTAAATTTTTTTCTTTTTTTCCCTTTTTTTGGGTAAAAAAACACAATTTTCTCCTTTATATGTGTGAGATTGGACATTTCACAAACCCTTAATTGGGAAAAAAAGAGAAATGGCACAATTACCTCCCAAAGTACCCCAAAATTGGCCCTCTTTTCCTCACCAGCAGAATCCGATTACATTTCCGAACTTCATGAACTCCAACACCTCGCCACCACCGTCCCTTGCCACCATGAACGGCGCCTCCACCAACCATACTACCTCATCCTGGGTTGACGAGTTCCTTGACTTCTCTTCCCACCGGCGTGGCGCCCACCGCCGCTCTATAAGCGACTCCATCGCCTTTCTCGACCCGCCATTGGCCGAAGGATGCACCCCGCGACAGCCTCCGTTGGACTACTCCAACGGCATACTTCCATCAGAACCCAATGTCGGCTTCGACCGCCTCGACGACGACCAGTTAATGTCCATGTTCTCCGACGACATCTCCCCCTCTCTGCCCCCTGCAGTTTCCTCATCTTCCGACCAAAACAGCAATAATGACGAGAAGACGTCGACACCACTCAAGACCGAACCGGGAGAGGTCCAGAGCTCATGCAAGCCCGAACCACAACAAGCGACGCTACCGCACGCGTCGCCAGCCTCCAATCCTGATTCCATCATCGATCCCAAAAGGGTTAAAAGGTAAAACATCTCATGATTCCATGAACAACCCTCGTAATATTTTTATAGTTCTGAGTAGTTTTAAACTCTACAATATTTTTTTAAAATTTATGTGAAAAGTCAAAATTTAGATGAATCAGTACATAATTTTTACAATAATTAAATTTTCCGTCTATAATTTTTGCTTCTGGATTCGCTTATAATCTTGCATTACAATTTATCTGAATAAGTACATGCAATTCCTTTAAAAAAAAAAATAAAATATCTTGCTATTTAAAATGTAAAAAACGCCTCTAATTAGAGATTCTAACATTGTACGTACATCCTGATTTTTTGTATAATTTTCTTTTAATTAAATTATTAAAAATAAAAGATGAAAGGTGTTTAGTAGCTCAGACAATATTTGAATAAGGGATGTACTTTTTGAGATGTACGCTTAATATTGGAACTACACATTTAAGAATTTATATTTATAAGTTGATATAATTTAAATTATAAAATAACAATTAAATAAAAGATCATAAGATTGTTGGATCGTCAATGATTTAAATAACTCAGTGATTATTTTTTTTTTTTGTTGAAAGTAAATGATGAGATAAAAAATAAAAAATAATTACTTTTCATTGTGCAATTAAAAAAAAAAAAAACTAAATCAAATACAATGGACGCTAGGACCAAAAAAAACCTGATATTATTCCACATGTCTCAGTATTTGAATACTCTTCTCTAAGATGTTTAATTATTGGGAAAATTATATTGATGATACTTTTTCTGGGTCTTCATCAGAATTTTAGCAAATCGGCAATCAGCACAGAGATCAAGAGTAAGGAAGATGCAATACATATCAGAACTTGAACGTAGCGTGACAACATTACAGGTATTAACTGAAAAAATCTCGTATCAATTTAATTTATAATTTTTTTCTTGCGCTATTATTTGGATTGTTGAAGTGATTCCACCCCCCCCCCCTCCCTCCCCCCCTTTTTCTGTTTGTTTCGATGGAAAATGAAGACTGAGGTATCAGCATTATCACCAAGGGTTGCGTTCTTGGATCATCAAAGAGTGATTCTTACGGTAGATAATAGCGCTATGAAGCAACGGATTGCTGCATTGGCTCAAGACAAGATTTTCAAAGACGGTAATTAGGACTAATTTGATCTCATTAAATTACTAAATATAAGATTAAACTTTGTTTTGTTTCTTAAACTCATCATGCCATATGGGATTAATTAAATTAATGAAACTATAAGTATATGAAGTAATTTTTTTCCCACTAAAAATAACATTATGCGTCTGTGGGGCCCACATCATTATAGCTACCATAAATTAGTCTTAAAAAATCGTCCTAATTATAGTTTCAATGATACAGCTACAATCCCGGAGAGGGTTTTAATTTTATAATATTATGATTTGTAATTAAATAAGTAAATATATAATATTATATATGGATTGTCCGAATAAAAAAATTGATTATTTGATAATATATTATAATAATAAATTTTTAATATCACATGATATTATAAGTGTATATTTTTATTAAAAATTAATATATTTTAGTTAAATTTATAAAAAAAATTAAGTAAAAAATTATTTTAAAATTATGTTATTTTAATAATTTTTTATTAAAAAAAATTAAAATAACTTATTTTTTAAAATAATAATAATATAATTTTAATTTTTGTCAAAATAATATAATTTTAAAATTTTTTTTATTTAATTTTTTATAAGTTAAGTTGATGCACATTTTTTTCGTTTTTGCTATCGTTGTTTTATAAAAAGGCATTGCCTAAATCTACATAAAAAGTCAAGTGATGAACATGATTGTACTTTTGATTTTCAGCTCATCAAGAGGCGTTGCAGAAGGAAATAGAGAGATTAACGCAATTAATGCACCACCAACAAAAAGTTCAAGAAGATGAACGGCGCCGACGTTGACAACCAAGCACCACCTCAACAGCCGCCGCTAAACGCTGGCAGCACTGTCTGTACGGACATGGAGCGATAGAGGATTCGTTGGTGGTGCACTCTGCTAATTTTGTGGCTTTCACGTGATGTGTTTCCATTTTGTCAGCATTGCTCCGTGGGTGGGGCCTTGAGAAGATTAATTGGCTAAGAGATGGCCACATACACTTTTTTTGGGGATAAGGGGGTGAGTGGTCACGACAATAATTTCATTTTTTTTTAAAATAAAATAAAATTACAGTGTTGTGGTGTGGGGTTTTTCATTTTTATTTTTTTTGGTCAAGGTCAGATTGGTTATTTATTTATTTTATTTTATTTTTAAATCAGTTATTAATTGGTGGGGTGGGGGTGCATAAAGATGGTGGTGAGGAGATTGATACTGTGAGGGGATTGACCACCAATGCAAAGTTGTGGTTAATGTCCAATTGTTGTTTGACAAAAATGTATAAAAATATTCTTACTCAGTGTTGTCTTATTATGATTACTACTTTCATTTAATTTTAGTTGATTTAATTTTTAATTTAAAAATTTTAAATTAATTTTAATAGATTTAGTTTTTAATTTAAAATATTTAAATTTAATTAATTA